AAAGTTAAAGAAGAATTAAAGGTATTGCCCAAACTTGTAATACCACAAGAAGAAGATTTCTTTATCCTTGAAACTGATGCTTCAGATTATTACTGGGGAGCAGTGTTAAATGTTAAAAAGAATCATAAAGAATATAAATGTGAAAAAGATTGTTCTTGTCCTGAGATACTTGCAAGTTATACATCATGAACATTCAAAGAAGTTGAAATAAGATATGAGACAAATGGAAAAGAACTCATTGCTGTAAAAAGAGGAGTTCAAAAATATGAAAATTATTTATTACAAAAGAAGTTCTTGATTAGAACTGATAATGGTCAAGTTAAAGCCTTTTTGAAAAATAATGTTGATCCATCTATTACCAGTAGATATATTATTAGGATACAAATTTGGTTCTCATATTTCAAATTTGATATTGAATACATAAAAGGTAAAACTAACTTTTTTCATGATTATCTTAGCAGGGATGGAGCTAGAACAATTAAGGACGAAAGTCCAAATACTTGAGATAAAAGTTTCCTATTTGGAAACACAAATTCAAAATATCCAAGATAGCCTTCAAGGCAAAAATATAGCCCTTGAGGCAGGAATTACTTGTACCAAGTCTAGTATCCCTTCGCAGGGATTTGTGAATACTAGCGCTCTCTCCGAGGATAAAGGGAAAAAAAAGAAGGTAATAGGAACCCCTTCACAGGGAAAACTTGAACATATTACTGGTAATAAAGATATTCAAGATATCAAAAGAGAAGGTAGCTCTTCACAGAGTCAAACTCAATCTAAACTTTCTATTGAAAGGATAGATTCAAAAGATATTGTCAAGATATGCCATGAAACAAAAAGAACCATGAAGAAGTAACACTCTTTATTGTTATTTTTAATATTTTATCAGATTGGTATCTGGAGATTGGAAAGTGGATGAAGACTCTCCACTATTCAAAATACAACAAGATAAATTTTTATCCAGGAGCACCAATCAACTGGGTTCGAAATTGTTTTGAGATAGAAAATATATTTTGTATATATCCTAGCAAAGATCTCAAAGAGATAGCTCAACTTCCAACCAACATTAGGAAAGCTGTTAAAAGATATACTGAAGTCGTCAAGACAACAGATATATATATCAGATTCCATTCAGCAACCATGGAATGAGATCCCATTCTTGAATATATGCATCCATCGTTCTATGTGATAAAAATGGGACTTACAAATCAACATTTTTCACCAACCAATTAAAAGGTTGTTAAAAAAGGATATCAAGTTATTCTAAATATGATGCCCTACAGAAGAGTAAAAGGGTACAAAGAGATATTTAAACATGTAACTCAGATAATTATTGAGAAAGAAAAAATATGGGTTTATCCATTTGAAGATCATATTATCTATTCCAATGCAATGATGGCTACCAAGGAAGAAGATATTTGTTATCTCGACCATTTATTATCTGCAATTATTTCTAACCAAGTGCATGGATCAGAAGATATGGCTAAAGAATTATGCAAATTACTTTGGAACTACAGTGATCACCATTGTGAATACTGTGTAGTTGAAGATATGAGTCAAGCATCCCTTAATGATGAAGAATTCCCTGCAGAATTCTTTGATTCGAAAATGAAAAAGTGATGGTGACAAAAGTAGCCCTTTATCACTACTTTAATAAAGAAATTTATTAAAGAAAAACTGTGGCTACTAAAAGACAGAAGATAGTGCATGAAAAGTCTCCATAATTGTGACTACTCCCCACCAATTGTTACAAGTGACAGACAAACTCAAAAGATAAGGCATCTAATTTCAAAAGGAGAGGTCCACTAGCAAGAAGATAATGGAAAAATTCGGTGGAGATAAGATGGTCTAGCTATCCAACAAAGAAAGGTGGAAAACACTTGTCAAGATAAGGTTCCCAAAGGCTTCTATAAAAGGAGGCAAGGAGGAAGAAGGAGAGAGGCTCGAAAGAACTTATCTCTTAAAACACTCAGAGGAAACACATCTTAGAGATAGATCTTTTGTAATCTGTATATACCACTTGTATTCAGAAAAATATTAGATAGCTTGAAGATAGTAAAGCGTGTAATAAGGTAATCACTTATGGAGTTCTAAACTTCATAAGGTGAGTATCAAAGGTATGTAAATATAGTTTGTAAGCATGTACAATTTCAGTTTATGAATATCAAAGTAAAATTTGTTATGTTCAACAAAGCCTTCATAAAAGGATTTCGTTAAGTTTCTCATGATTCCTCGGTAGTACAGATAGAGATTTTAAAAGATTTTCAAATATTGATTTTGAATGGATGTTAGCCATGCCAAAGTACCCGTTTTTGATGAATAGTTTAGGGGAAAAGGCAATTTTTTAACAAAATTGTAGCACCTTGTGTGTGAGTTATCTTTTAAAATTTCGTTCCAAGTAGGAACTTGATTTTGAAAAGAGTTTGGATAGAGGTGAAAACAGAGACTCTGGATACTGTGAGATAGCGTCTATGGAAACACGGTTAGTTCTCTACAGTGAGAAATGCAACCTTAATTGAAAAGCTTTTTGCGCAAGCAGTTGTGGACCCAAATGATTTCAAAAAACATTTTAAACCTTTACTTGATTCAGAAGATTGATTAAGTACATGCAAAGCATCTATAAGAGCATACTGGAGAGAAAACCTGTTTACTTCCATTTGATTACTGTAAGTTATTTACTTATTTTTATATGCTTATGCTTTAATTATTCTGATGAACAATTCACAAGCATCCACTTCCACTACTAATGATGATAATAATCTTATTTTATTTTTAGATGAAAAAGATGTCTCGTTTTTATTTAAATTAGATGAAAAATCTGAAGATATATTTCCTGTTGGTAAAGAAAAAATTGAAGAAATATATAGAGATATAGATTATAATTGTAGAAATAATATAAGATTTGATTCTGTAGGAACTCATAGAGAGATAAGAAAGGTAGAAGATATCATAACCAAACATAGAAATATACAAGAAGAAATTTCAAAAGAATTAGTTAAAGGATATATAACCAAGAAAGGTCAACCTATAATCTTTGAAGAACTATCAAGATACAAAGAATATTTAAAGGTATTTGAAAGATTGAAAAATATAAATATAGGTTCTGATTGATAAATCCTTAAAGATATAAAATACATCTTGCAAATAACTATAGTAAGGGCAAAATAGTATTTTTGATAAAAGAGGCCATTGTAAAAAATAAAAACAATTTTCCAGCCATTCTAAAAATTACCCCCACAAACCTCCGACACCCATCCCCCAATCCCACCAAAACAATCCACCATTATTGTCGCAATACCACCACAATAAATGCGATCAGATGGATGTCTTCCTTTGCTCTCGCTCTCTAGATTTCCTTTTTCTGTGTCTGGAAAGTTTGTAGAGTTTGGGACGCCGGGGGAGAGGGGGTGAGTTGACTTGTTAGATTCTATGGTCGAAATAGGATCCATTCAATCATTGTACAAAGAAATTTCTTTTTCTCACTTCTTACTATGTATGCGTAATGCGTTTCTATACAAAGATCGCAAATATCACAGAAGAAATGTTAGCCCAGAAGGACTGGGTTTCTATACCAAGAGATGTTATGTTGTTTAGTGGCAGTGAAGGACTTGGTTTGATAGGTACAAGGCTCGAAATTCAGGATTATGCTTCCTTTTTTTTTTTTTTTTTTTTTTTGGGTTTGTAGCCCGAGTCATCCTTTTCGACACTGGATCTTTCGGATCTGGATGAATGTTCCAGATCAGGTGATTTGCCGCGGTGGCGCGACACCGAAGATGGGTGGAGGATGGTTGTCGACAGGATGGGTGAACTTTGATGGGTTTATGTGAAAGAGGAGAGGAATGGAGAGAAGAGAAGAAGAATTTTGTAAAGGGCAATTGTGTTTTGACTAAAATGCCTTCAATATTATAAAAATTTTCATTTCTTAGTCAACTCACGGCCAGACTAACGGTTTTCGTCAATTTGATATTGAGCTGCGAATTTTTTAAAGGTTTCATGCTCACGATGGTACAAATAAAATGTTTGGGCAAAGTCTGTTGATAAACAAAAGGTTTGGTACCTTAGCCACAATTTTCCTTTTTATTTTTTAAAATAAATTTGCTAACTATTTAATTTAACTCAAACCTAAAAATATGATTTTCCTATTTCTAATTTCTACTCCAAATCATATTTAATCAAATCGATCTAAATTTTACCTAAATATATGTTATTCTATCGTAGTGTCGTTTCTCTTGTTTTAAAGAAATCGAATTGAAACTCAACATCCCCTTTTTTAATTATTGTGAGATCACTCTCTTTCTCTTTCTGTAACTTTAACAATCAAATCTATAAAAAACTCAGAAAAGAGAAACGCAAAAATCACTTGAGATTATACTATATTATTTTATAAGAGCTAAAATTGAATATGTCATTAACTGAATTAATGTAGATTTGTAAATATTAAAAAAATTAATTATAATATGAAACCCAGAATCCAAGTGAAACCCAATCAAATTGAATGGAATCGAACCCAAACGGTTACATAATTAAATTTGAATCCGACGATTTCACTTACTAAATATCCAAAAATTTCAAATCCGATTCGATTCTCATTAAAACCGAACCAACTAGACCACGCCCAACCCTATTTAGATATTTATATCCTGCTTTAAATCATACTAACAATCCTTTTTGATGAAAATCATGATTAAGGGCTATACTTATGGGCCCAGCATTTATCTGCCCGATCAAGCCACCCGATTCTCCAGAGGTTGGCTGTGCCATGGCAAACACCGACAGGGTTTCTTGTATATGGCCCAGATTGACACCTCTAAGGTTAGTCAAAAGTGGCACAAACATGGAGAGAGGGAAGCCCTTACGAATTAAGCGCCTATTTGATAGAAATTAAAATTAAAATTTTAACTTAAGTCAAAATCAACAATTAATTTTGACCTTACATCTTATGAGATTCACTACTTTTCAACCACAAATTTTATCAAAATCTACTAAAAATCTGATTCTAAGAATTGCCAAACAGAAGAATAAGAGTTGCATTGAACAAAACATCGTGTTGGAAACATAAATATAGCAATAGTACAAGCATCTAAATCCAATTACTGCCACAAATGAAGAGGAGTTTGACACAGGAGAAAACATAACCAAGTCTCAAATGAAAATTGCAAAATTAGAGAGACTAATCCGCATCCATTTCTTCAAGCGCGGCCTTAGCGGCTGCCTTTGCTTCCTCCAATATATCATCTGGAACCTGAGACAATCACGATTTGCTCCAATGATATCAACAATTGAAGTATTGACAAATACTTAGTATATATAACATAAACCAAATATTGAAGTGGCACGAGAACTAAAATTTCGATATACACATCAAATAATTAAAGCCCCAAGCAAGACATTATAACATAATATTATTGCCAAGTGTTGAAGAAAAGATTTAAATAATTAACATTTGATCATATTTAACAGTTTAAGTTTTTAGATCAACTGTTTCAACATAGTAACAGAGTAGGTCTTAGTCTCATCGCCACCCATTTAAATAAAATTGTCCACCTTAGGCTTTGATGAAGAAAATCCGTCTACACGTGAGTGTGGACTTGCTGAAGATAATAGTTAAATATTCTAAATGTAGTCTAATCTAACAGCACATACTTTTAAATTTAAGCTTCAACTTTTCGAAAGATAAGATTAAGAGGAGAAAGAAATGTTTGTTTGCAATGAAAATATTACATCAATGAAAGGTCTTTGTATATTTACTAGTCTATTTAATGGCTAAACATATTAAAGTATAATATAAACAATCGAATACATATTTAATAATCTTTATATTTTCTAGAAAAAAAATTACTAGATTTTATGATCAAGATCTCATAGACTGGCTAAAGGAAAATGTAGAATGATCAAAACATAATACCAAATAGGTGGTTTTTCACATGAGCATGTTCTTTTAGATTAGTACAAGTGGTATGCCTAAAAGTCACAAGGAGAAAAAGGCGTACTAATATTTAGCATGTACCTTTTGATGCTGGCGGTTAGACTCATCACAGACCCAACTCATTTCCAATTCAAAGGCCTTGTCCTTTGCCTCGTCATGAACTCCGTAAATTCTGCTTATTAGAAAGTACAACATAAGTTAAAAGATTATGCCCGTTAAAACCAAATTTAAAACAAAATGAGAAAATAAGATGATTTATGAGAAACTATTGGTTTCTAGAATTGTTGAGGTCATTATAGTTTCAAAAACGGGACAAACTTGGTGTGGCACATATGTTGATAACTCATTCTATAACTACAAAAATAAAGCCTGTGTTTGGTTTGCATAAAAAGTAGATTTTGATAAAAATTGATAAAAATCATGGATCCGATTAAATATGTAGTTGAAAATGAGTTTCGAAAAAGTTTTTAGGAAATAGGGGCCAAACAAGGGCTAAATTTACTTTAAACGGTCTACTTTTGCAAAAATGCTTAAAATCTATAAAAAGCCAGATAATCATGTTTAAGAAGTGATTATAAATGGTTTAATTATAAATAGAAAAAATAAGTAGATAAATGGATAATACTTGTGGATTTTGTGTGGATAAAAAGTAGGTTTGACCAATTATGTTTATAAATTAAGCCCTTATTTGAACTACATTATATTCCTAAGAATGCATTTTTGAATAGTGTATTGATGGAAAATGTGTGGTTAAAAAGTAAAGAAAAGTTTTAGATTTGCGTGTAATATTATTTTATTAAAGAATGTGTGGTTGAAATAATGTCAAATCACTGTTTAAGAATGTATTTTTTTGAAAAAATGTGGCTCAAACATAGCCTAAATAAAAGACAAGCAAGAGAGCACATTTGGGTAAGCCTAAAAAAGAAGCAAATTTACTTTTCCATGAAGTAAGGTGAGCCGCCTCTAAACTAAAACTCAAAAGAATGTAACTTATAAAGAAAAGCCTGGCTTAGCAAACATGCTCTCAATAAAATAAATAAATAAAATAAAATAAAAAGATGAAGCTATCCATATGCATGTGATTCTATATTAGGTTTAATTCACAAACAAAAGTTCCAGATAGTCAATCTGGCATAAAAATTTCTAGAATAAGATCTACTTTGCAGCTCATAAAATACATGTATATTCAAAAATTAATTGAACTATTTCATTTAGTGTCAAAAACATTTTTGAGGCACTCTTGAAATCACATGAAGCCATGCCACTCTAGATTTATTTACTAATCTTTTTACCCTTCTCTCGTTCTCCACTTCTCAATCAATTATAACCGGCTCACCCAGGACCATTATCATCTTATATCATCAAGCCAATCTACATTCCCCCCAAAACAACTAGATTTCAGAGTTCATATATAAATGTTGTCAGGAACTACTTCAATGAAATGAAAATAGCCGCAAGAGCTAGTTCTCAAATTTGCTTGGTGGTATTTAAAAATCTCATTTATCGCCTATATCAATGGACTAATTGCCAATCCAATTCCCAGCCTTAAGACTAAATGAAGTCAACCCTTACAGAATTGAGTCTGCTGCAAAACTAAAGGCAGGGACCCCCCAAATTTGTCCTTTTGTGGACAGTTTTCAAAGTAAGGTTAAAAGCTTGATTCCATAACATAATTACATATCAATCAATCTTCCATGTAACTGCATTTTTGCAACATCGAGAGGGAACCATGACCAAGCAGACTAGCATCATATTTTGAAAATGGTAGATTGGTAGCGTCATATCTTTAACATAAAAAGCAACAAAAGCCTCATCAGTAGAATGCAGTGAGAGTCGATACTGCGCCCAGTATACAGCCATTTTTGACAAATTTAAATCTGTTTTGAACCGAAAACTATGGAGAAGGAAACACTTGTAACCAAAAAGAGGATTGAAGATTCATGCCAGACAGATATAAATGTCTCACTTCAATTGGAAGAAAATACTCACATCTTGGCCACCTCAATAACCCCTTGTCGGCAGGTCATTTCAGAAAGCTTCAATTTTTCAATCTCACTGTACACATCGTTTTGACTCCATGTCAGTATTAAAACAAAACTTGTCGAGAAAAAAAAAAAAAAAATGTAATGAACGAGTAAATGCTATATTATCTGAAAAGTTAAATTATATAACTTAAAAAATATATATATAATAATAACAAATAAATAAATAAATTGTATAATCGTTTAAGGGGCAGAATTGCTGCTTCAGTTGTATAAACAAATTCATATTTAGTAAAACAGTCCTAATCTGCTTTGGATAATTTAAAAAATGAAGCAACAAAATACAGCAAGGAGAGAAGGGAAATTGCACCGCACCATCAGCATGGGAGGCACAAATTCATATGTTATATTTTTCAGTTTTGGTTCCTCTATATGTTATAAATAGTAGGTGGGATCATATAGAAGTACAATATGGGGTATGAACATGCACAGAGAAATTTCTTACGTTTTAGCAGCCTGCCTGCCCTTCCCAATTGCAGCACCAAAGTATCTCTACAACAAATGGTATAACAAATAAACACAATGAGAAAATTCTCAACAAACAGTACCAAGTTACCAACTATATGAAGTAATTCATAGTTCTCGGGCTTAATAACCATTAAATGCTATACTTATCATTTGCAAATAATGGTAATAAATCAACTCACATAGGAAACCCCAGAAGGTTCAACCATGTACAGCTGTGGTCCATCCCTGTCATAACCTCCCAGAATTACCCCACTTCCAAAAGGCCTACAAAATTTATACTAGGATCAAATGTAGAACGAAGTTCAATAGGAGTAAGCATTCGAAATATGATCAGGTGCAGTAATAAACCTCAGCCACCAATACAGTGTACATAGATGGACGTAACTAGCAACACGTTCTGCAAGTTCTTTTACAGGAATTGGCTCGCCATACACACTGCAAAGCCAGATAATGGCAAAATATAAGAAAGAGACGTGGAAATAGGTAACTGTTTGACAGCAGTACATGATCATATTGACTGAAAATGATTTCAAGTAAAAATAACTGTTGTTTGCTGAGTTGAAAGCTTCTGGGAATCCAAAGATTTTATCCAACAGCAGAGAAAAAGGCGGTAGCATCAGGTATTTCACATGGGTATAAATGCTGAGAAAAATCCTAAAACCCCCTCTATGACATTGAGTAATAATATATGCAACCACAATTTTTCTCTCTCCCTGATCCATGTTGGTCTTTGGTAGCTGCAAAAATATATCTAATGTCTCTTTCCTCTATTAGTGTGCACAATTCATAATTCTAATTTTACTCCTGTTAATCAGGGTTTTGGTCAAAGGAAAAGTGTAATTGGTGATTTAGTCTTTGTGCGGTATCTTCTAAGCTATTTAGTGACATTTCGATTTTCTTTCATTCGGTTTCACAAGTTGAAGGTCCTTTCATAATTTGAATGTTTATGTACAAGAGGATGAACTACTTTTCCTTTGTTCAGTCACATACACTACCATACTTGTATAATCTCTTTATTAACAAAAAATTCTCAGCATCGTCCATCTGTCAACTATCCTGAGCACTATAAAACCTTAAAACGATGTTTCACATATTCCAGTCCCTGGTAAAGCCCAAATAGATCTTATCCTTTTCTTCCACTTCCTATAATCAGATTTATGTCCTCTACTGTAGGAAATCACTCACCACACTGGTCCTGCAGCAACACAGAGGCTTTAACAAGGAAAATTTAAATTTTTATCTTGATTATGGAAACACAAAGGTCATCGTACTCCTTTAAGATGAGATAAATATCTGGTAGTGTGTGATAACCATTCTCCAGAATCAGTCTCGATTCAGTAAGTTACAGCATGTTAAATTTACTAGAAAAAGGCAGAATACAGAAACAGAGCAGTATGCAAGATAGCTGTAAAATAAACCTCTCATAGTTAGTTGCTTCAGATTTTGCTCGTGCTACAATTTGCCTGCCATCTGCAGCTAATCCTGCAACCGCCTGCAAATAGAAGTACATCAGCAAGGACACATATAAACTTCAATTAGACAGCAATAGAATAAAATAAATGAATTCCATCAAGCTGCGACAGCTTATCATCTAAGCACATCTAATTCTTCATAATTATATCCTCTTCTACTGGTTTATTAATCCAGGATTTCGTAATTCCTATTTTTTTTTTCTTTTTTCTTTTGCTATGTAAGTTCATTTTCTAATAACCGAAAGATATAGAAAAATGTTACCATGCCGGAATGGCGATGGACGGCATGGATTCTTCTGTTGGAACCAGGCAACATCATCTTCGAAGTAATCAGCTTCTCCACTCCCTATATAAGTTTTATACACATCGTAATTAACAAAGAAAAAAATCAGAAATCCTGAGAACTAAAGTTAATTAATATCACATAATTATACAGACACATATGCATACCAAAACGATTCCATCTTTGCATTTGATACCGACGACGGTGCCACTGTTGTCGACGGCTTTCGCAGCATACTCGATCTGGAAAACGCGACCGTCCGGAGAAAATGTCGTCACTGAAAGATCGTAACCCGTGCCTATGCTGCTCATCTTTCTCTATATACTGCTTCTCTGTGTGTATGTAATATTTATGTATATTCGATTGAGCTCCGAATCAGAGTGGGTTTTCTTTGGGGTCAAGACAGACTTGGTTGGGGGCGCGGAGAGAAAATTAAAATAAATAGAAAATAAATGGAAAATATATGTTGAAATTACAGTTATATCACTGGGCCTTGATTTTGGCCCACTGGTACTAAAATGGTTTGACAGATTTAGCAGTTGTTCGATCCATTATTTTTATCAAAATACATTTTTCAGCAATAATTTGATTATATTTTAATTACATATTTTTTATTAAAATAATATATACACATAAATTCGAAAATTTTCTTTATTTTTTAACCACACATTTTCCATCAATACACGATTCAAAAATGCATTTTTTGACAAGAATAGGCTCAAACAAGGACTAAATATTACACATTTCAAAACTAAGAAATACGGTTTAAAAGTTAAAAATTCAGATATTAATTAAATTATATTTATAAAATAATTAATTAAATATATATTTTATTAATTAAATATATTAAGGTCACAATTTTATAAAATTTGGTCACAAATTATTTCTCAATCACGAATTAAAATTTTTATAGGTCGCAAATTATTTTATAGTATCATTTTACAGTCACAAATCAAATAATTTATAGGTCATAATTTATTCATCGATCATAAATCAAAAAATTTGTAAGTCACAATTTATTTATCGATCACAAGTCAAAATTTTATAAATCACGATTCAAATTTTTAAGTCATATGTTATTTATTGGCCACAAATTATCAATTACATATTATTTATTGGTTACAAAATATTTAATTTATTAGTCATAACATCAAATAATTGATCACATATTATTTATTGGTCACAAATCGCAACTACCGGATCCACGACCACCACCACCATCGTCCTCACCTCACCTCCACTTCCACACCATTGCTAGCACCTCCACCTGCACCACCAAAATATGGAAGGTGCCACCACCGCCACTCCAACCAAAACCAAAATTAATACCTCACCTCTATCAACCACCTACACCAACCACCTGTACTACCACCACTACAACCCACCATCGTATCGTAACCACCACCTCACCAAAAAAATCCTCAAACCTTATTGCACAATTACCATAGTCTATAGCCACAAATCCCCACCACCTCCTCAAATCCCCCATCATCTTTTCCTCTACCACACCACAGCACAACCATCAACACAGCACAAACAAAATAAGAGAAAATAGTTGAAAAGAAAATTGGACAGAATGCAAAGCGCACCATCACAACTGCAGGAAGCGTGATGCCACAGAGCAGGAATCGCTACTGCTTCATTCGTAGTGGTGATCAAGGAAACAGAGGCACATCGTCACTTCACATGAAGCAGCAACGATGGGAGTGCATTGCTTCTTCGTCCGACACTAGGCGACAATGCAATGCCTGTCCTGCATAGTGCCACCGGTTCTAGTTGCTGACGGAGGTATGAAATGATGCAATAGAATAGATTGATGTAAAATGAGATGGTGTGAAATGAATTAGTGTTTGTTGGCGTGGGTGGATTGATGGTGGTAGGTTAATTAATTTATTATTAATATTAAAAAAAATTATGATCTAATTTTTATATAATTAATTCTTAAACCTGATTTTTGAAATTGGAAGTTGAAAAACATGATTGAATGTAATTTTCACTTTCTACTAAGCACCTCTTTGAGTCCTTTTTTGGTTAATAATGTATTTTAAAATAGTAAATTGATGGAAAATATGTTATTAAAAAAAAGAAAAAAATTGAATTTGTGTGTAATATAATTTTATTGAACATGTTTGATTAAAGAGAGAGAGAGAGAAATGCAGGGTTGACGCAGACATTTTGAGTTAGGGGCCACAATTAAATTTGCAAATCGAACAAGTTGATAATGAAAAAATATAGTTTTTCATAGCTATGATCCTTATAGAGAATGAGAAACTTTAAGATACAAATGCAAACATGGTATAACAATTATCAATTTTGTTCATTCTAGATCAAATATGTACCGACTTGTCATGAGTTTGTAGGTATTATTTATAAGGAAAAAGGGGCCCTGAATTTGTTATGTAGTGCATTGGAGAAAAAAACATTGCCAAATGTAAAGATATATTAATGACATAAATCATGTCCGTAAAGGCAAATATTTAATCAAGCAAAATGATCTTACCAAATTTGACTTCATTTTTTAGGTGCATGACCAGTATTTTTTCAAATGATATTAAATTTTAACATAAAATGAAAAAGATAAATATTAAATACTATACATTGGTTTAAAATATTAGGCCCTAGTTTGATCTTCCGTTTTAATGTAAAATTGGAGGAAAATGAGTTTTGGAATATTTATTTTCTTAGAGAATGTGAGGTTAAAAAATAAAAATATTTTTCGATTTACGTATAATATTACTTTATGAAAGGATGTGCAGTTGAAAACGAGTTTTTGTAAAAATGGGGCCTGTGTCAAACTCAATAGCATAATCATAACATTAATGACAATTTTCGTTTGCCCATACTTTTCCTTCCCCCACACTTTGACCGATGTATTACATTTTATCATTAAAAAAATATAAAATAAAAATAATGAGGATCAAATAAGGACTAAAATGGATGACTTCTACAATTTTTAAAGAAAAATTACTCAAAACCTACCTATAAAATATGCAATTCAAAAATAAGGAAGATTAGTTGTAATTTCACAAATCAGTTAGCAATGAAGATTATTAAATTAATTAAAAGATGATTAATATGAAAACCTTTTTTTGTTTATCTTATCAAGTCTATTTAAACTTATTTCCACAACAATCACTCTCAATCATTTTCTTCCGTCAAGGACCATCACATCTTTTCCTCACTACAATACATATGTTCAACATTTACAAACGAAAACTCTCTCAGCATGTTCTATTTCTATAATTCTTCAATTTCTCAACAGAATGCTGATATGGTCATCGATGTTGTTGGTATTTATTGGAGATGGTGGTGGTAGTAGATTGTGATGCAAGCGGTGGCAGTGCATTGCAGTGCAGGTAGTAGTGATGGTGGTATGTTGGAATATGAGGAAGTGGGAGTTCCTTGTTAAATCTATTGATTGGATTACTATTTTGTTGCGGTAGTAAAGGGTTGTGGTGTCGGTCTGCGGTGTGTGCAAATTTATTTGTGGTGATCCTCATGATCAAGTCTGTGTTAATTATGATCGATTGTGATTGTATGTGTTGTGGTGCAGGTCCACGGTGTGTGCAGATTTATTTGTAGTGATCTCTGTGATTAAGTGTGTCTTAATTATGACAGATTGTGATAAAGTCTATGTTAATTGTGCAGTCATGATTGTATATGACCAAATTAATAGTAATTTTTTCACATACCATCATTATTAAGATTGAACTGATCCCAGAAAGTCATAATAAATACAAACTTGGCCACAACAATCATGGTGTAAAGCCCGAAAATTTTATTGTTTTATAGAATAAAATTTATTTATTTTATATGTTATATTTTTATATTTTGAAAAGTTGATGGATTTAAGTGAAATAGGTTTTAATTCTTATATTTTTGGTAAAGCAAATTTTAACATATCTGTTTCGCGCGGGTAGTCGCTAACAATTAAAAAGGGATCAGACGATTGTGTAAGGAACAGACCCCTTGAGACAAAATCCCAAAAAGGGGTGTTTTATTGGCGATGATTTACAATTGAAAATGAACAGAATACCTCCAAGAGGCGCAAGCACACGAGTACTAAAAAAAGGTGTTTAAGTTTAAACTAAGAAATTGAAATTACATATTCTCTGTTTGAGAGTGTTTGATTCGTCCCTTTTTCTCTATGTCTTCTCTTCCTTTTATATTCCCTTGATAATTTTTTCGTGACAAACCGCTTGAAAACTGCTTGATTGTTGTATAACTACCCACTTTCTTTATGATGGCTAACTTGTCGTGGAATTGCGTCTCTAACTGTTGCCATTACTCTTTGTCGTTCAACCGCCTTCAACTGGGCTCCTTGAATCGTGGAATGTGATAAGATCACTCAATAACTGCTTTAATAACTGTTATTCTGGATAACCATAATGTTTTATGCTTGCTAAGATTCTGGGCAATTCGAAGGTTTGGGCGAGAACGGGGTCATCGCTCTGGACGACCATAAGGTACTCCATTCGCTCAGATTCTGGGCGTCATGCAAGTTTGGACGATGATGTTACCGTATTCGTGGGCTTCCACCGCATTCATCAATAATCCTGTTTGGACCTTTATCTTGGATTCCCCAATTGGGCTTCACTCTTTGGGCTATTTAATTTGGGCTGCACTTTTAGTATGTCAACAATTACCCCCAATATGGCAGAATTAATACCAATTATTAATCTTTGCCATATTTACTTGGTATTTTCCAGCAATATTTGAAATTCTCAAGAATTTCAATCATTATTTCTTTCTACAGCCTGAAAAGGTGCAACGTTACAAACCCTTATAATCCCAAAAGACACGCCATTTCATTGCACCACTAAACCACGCCTCTATATTTCGTGCTTCCTCCTCGCTATTTTACTGTTCATCTTCTTGCTTCTCTGCTACGTTTCTCAGGCAAACCATAACGAAACTGTACTTTGTTCCCAATGGCGACTGTTACGCCTCGATTATTCGCGCCTCGATACCGAAGTGCCATCTCACCACCGAGGCCGAGATCAAGTGGACCCCGGTTAGAAGATTTGCCGCCAATTTAAGATTTGTCCTGCACCTAAGGCTTAAATTGATTTGACATCTCCATGAGGCTATTTGATGTGACTTATCAACTTTATGTCAATTCAACTCGGGGGAAACAAACTGTCCGTCCACTCTACAAGCGCGGCTGATTGACGCTTATGAGTAGACGCTTCATACCGTCAGATGTACACACGCGTCCCACATCCAGCGGTTCGTACCACCTATAAATACCCAAGGTTTGGTAAGAGGCAAGGGGGATGAAACTCTCAATACATAGCATTCCATAACAAGTTTATATATTCTCCTCCCCCTTTATTGATTGATTTGTGTAGCCCCTGGGCACTGTTCCGACCACCCAAACCTGACTTGACCGTCGGAGTGTATACGGCCGCCACCACCCCCGTCGGTTCCGACCG